ATCTTATAAATCTAGATAGGTGTGTGATCCATTTTAAGCAATGTTATAGTAGTGACTTATTTTTGTAAAAATTATTACTCAAATAATAACTCCAAAATATTAAAATAGTTCAAGGAACTTCCATAGACAACTACCTCAAACAGATTGAAGATTTCATTAATAAGCTTGCTAGTATCTATATTAAAATGGATTCTATAAAAGTTATTTATATAATTTTGCATAAATTGTCTAGTAACTAGGAAACTTTTATCACATAGTTTAATATTGATTTTTTATGATTCTTTAGTTGATATATATCACATTGATTGAATGTATAAAATCAAAAGAATGATAGAAGAAATATTGCGATGAAGGAGTCACTGACAAGCCATATATACAGCCAAATTCTACAACTCTATAATATCTAGTTATAAAGGTCATAGTCATTAAGGTCAAGTAACTAAGGAAGCCATATATAGAGTCAAATTTGTCAATTGGAAAATATATACTTAAGGTTATGGTTATTAAAGAAATAAGGAAAGAACTTATAGTAGCTATAATAGCTATTGCAACATAGACCATGGTCGTGTTTAAATGAGTCCATATTATTATTGCAACAAGCTTTGATATTAGGAAGCTTAATATGAATTGAAATATCTTAATAAAAAAATTGCCATCTTTTAAGATTATGTTATTGCCATATATTGTTCTAAAGAACACCTTCATGTTCAAATCCATCTTACTAAAATGTATGATCCTTCACAATTCTATGCAAGTCACTATAAGAAAAACTACTACATACCAAAAAAAATATTTTGGAATTAATGTCACTAAGTATTGCACTTTATATTAGTTCATGGATTTTGTTGTATCCAATCATGTTAATAGAGCAAGATTTATTAGACAATTTTAAACCAAATATTTTTTTCTATTATTAATATTATTATTACAAATAAGATTGTATTTTTTTATTTTTAATAATAAAGCCTTATTTAATATTTTATAGGTATTTGATCTCTACTATAATCTCATGTTTATAAAAAATTAAGAAATATTGGATACTCTACTATCTTCACATAAAAATCATGCACCATCTATAATACTAAAATCCTAATTGTAGTATCTTTTGCATTGTTTGTGACCAACACAATAACTTATATAAACTATATGATACTTAATTGGATCCTACAGTAAATATTTGATCATTCTAGAATAATTATAGAATATTTTATACCAAATTAATGTATCTTACTATTAGTCAAGCTACTAAAATCAATGATATTTACTATACTACCATTGATATATATAACTTATAGTATAAAAAGCTCAATCATCTCAATAACCAAATAACATATCAAATGATTGTATGGCAAAAGTTTATTTGACTATTTGTATTATCTTTTATCAAGAAAAATTCTATATCTTGCATTTTAGGTAAGAATTGCCAAAAAAGAACTCTAAAATAAATAGATCTATTATCTTGCATCCAATAGAACTTTTCCATAGTGACTTATGTGGTCTCTTATAGTCTATTGCAAATATATATATATATATATATATATATTCTTAGTTTCATAGAAAACTACACTAGATTAATATGGATATGTTTTCTTGTAGTAAAGAATAAGACATTTCAACACTTGAAATCTTTTAAATTTCAAAGGTCAAAAAAAAAAAAAAATAGACAATAGATTTCATGCCTTTGCACAAATAAAGAAGGAAAATTTCTTACAACTAAATTTTCTTAACTCTATGGTTTGTATGGAATTTAATGTCCATTCATGGCTTTGTCAACCCTATACCAAAATGGCCTTGTAAAGAGAAAGAAAAAAACATTTCTAGAAGCAATGCATAGCATCTTCTTTGTTGAAAAATTTCCATCATTTCTTTAGACTAAAATTGCATGAATTGTTGATTACTTGCTTAATAGATGTCCCATTGAGGCTGTTATTAATAAGACATGATTTGAGATGTTATATAGGTATTAACCTAACATTTCATACTTGTATTATATATATTACATATTATTACATATTACATACAGTGACAAACAAAACCGAGTACAAAGTTTGAACACTCATAGTTCATTGATCCTTCCAACTGACACATAAGTCAATTGATAGAATTACTTTTTTATTATCAGTATTCATCCAGTCCTCTATATGGATGAAAAATCTCATTATCATTTGAGGTAGGGTTTATGAGAAAAGTGTTGTAGAAGCACACAGACGTGCATACTCAGTTTTGGTTGCTTCTTCTTGCTGAATTTCGAAATTTCAATGTACACTCCTTGTTGCAAGATTTGAGGGCATTTTTTGTTTGTTGTGTTGCTCTTGTTGTGTACTATCTATAGTGAAAGTTGATTTGTCAATTGTATCTCTATGCCTCGGTTGTGTGAATCATTGAAGCACCAAGCATTGGTGTAGCTTAGGAGTGGTGTTTCTACAAGAAAAGTTGCAGACTCACTTGGAATGAGTCAGTCTTCAGTAGCTCATCTGAGGAGGGAGATTAGTGGTGAAATAGAAAAGCAAAGAGGAGGACGTCCAAAGGTTTTAGGAGAGCAAGAGAAGCGACTTGGTGTGCACCTTGTCATTGCTGGTTGTCTCAAAACGGCAAGTGCAGCTGCAAAATAACTTTGAGAAAAAACAGGTAAACACTTCTCAGACATCACCTTGAGGCGTGGCTTGAGAGAAGCTCGTTTGGGTGCTTGTGTGCAACAAAAGAAGCCTCTACTTGCCAAAAGACATGTTCTTGCAAGTTTGAGTTTTGCTCATAAATACAAAAATTGGACCGTTGATGATTGGAGACGGGTTATTTTCAGTGATGAGACAAAGATTAACCTAATCAACCTAGATGGTAGGTCTTGGTGTTGGTTGAGAGAAGGAGAACGACCTGGACCTAAACATGTTAGTCAAACTGTCAAACATGGTGGTGGTTCAATTATGATTTGGGGTTGTATGACTGCTTTTGGGCCGGGTGCTTGGTATCAAATTGAAGGTAGAATGGAGCAACACTTGTACAAAAAAATTTTAGAAACCTACTTGCAAAGTACCACACAGAATTACAACTTAGATCCTACTAAGGTAGTTTTTCAACATGATAATGATCCCAAACATACGGCAAAAAGTGTTCAGTTTTGGCTCTCTTCATAGCCATTTCAGCTCCTTCGATGGCCAGCTCAATCTCCAGATTTGAATCCAATGGAATATTTTTGGGCCCTTCTCAAACAACGTTTAAGCCAAGTCACTCCAAGGCCAAGAGGTGTTCAAGAATTGTGGGAGAATGTTTGTAGTATTTACCCTAGTTTTAATGCAAAAGATTGTGAGAAACTATACAAAAGTATGCCAAGAAGGATTTCAGCTGTTTTGGAAGCAAAAGGTTATTGGACAAAATATTGAAGTTTGAAGATTTTCTTTGAACAATACTGAGTACAAGACATAGTTGTTGATTTGACTTTGTAGAAGGATGTTTAATTATCAATTTGATGTGCAACTTTGTACATGTGTACAAGACTGTGTGTATTATTCCATGTAACTTTCAGATTTATAAAGCAATCATTGAAATTTCTGTAATTGCTCTTGAAAGTTGGCACTTCAGATTTTGTACTCGATTTTGTTTGTCACTGTATATTCATGTATTACAAGAATTTTGACACAAGCTACATACTAAAGCAATGAAATAAGTATATGTTGGCTACGGTTTTGCCATTGAGGGATATTATTGCTATAATCCAACCCAATACCAAGTCCAATACAAAGTCCTTATTAATCTAAATGTGATTTTCTTTAAAGACTATTCAAATAATATCTCTTCATTTCTACCTTCCACTAATTTCTTTGATAATTTGCTACTTCTTACAAAAATATTTGAACAAGTTCAAGAATCAAAGTGTGAAGTAGCTCCAAATATTCATAAAAAATTAGCTCAAGATGTAACTCAAACTCAATTGGACTAAGTCAATGTGGATGGACCAAAACAAGCAAAGTTGTATCTACTATTACACCCATTTCTTGTACTCAACCAATAGTTGAAGTTCAGCCAACACAACATTCTATCTGGAGTACAAGAGCACTTAGTCAAATCATTCCACATCTTGAGACTTATTGCTTCTGTTCAGCATTGTCACAGCGCAAATGTTTCTACACACGAGGCTCTTAGGTGTACAAGGGAGCTTGAAGCTACAGCACACGCCCATGTGAGCTGCATTTGAAAGCGAGGTTGTTAAACCCAAAAACTGGAACAGAATTTGGACTTCGTGGAAGAAGAGGCAACCTTTGGTGAAGATTCAGAGGCATCAATTGATGAAACGAGCTTTCAAGTTCCACACGAGCCCGAAAGGAAGAATCTTACTTTGACAAGGAGCAGGTATAGGGTACGGCAGCTACTTCGCAATCGAGCTTGATAAGAACGGCCACTTGGGATCGAAGGCCTTGGTTGAAAACTAACTAGGGCAATTTCTAGAGTCCCTAATGATCTGAAGCTACAATTAATACCCTGGAGAAGATTCAAACTATGATCAAAGGTAGATAACCGAGAGGTAGGCTCGCAGATGGCCTTGCTTCTTGACGTGGATGTCGGCGGTGAGCCCCAACGGTCCTACGAATGACATGGTCTGCAAAGAAGTTATAAGTGGAACCCGAGTCCCTATGTTATAAACGACAAATGATTACATTGAAGATCGAAGTACGTAGAGTAGTTAATTGAAGAGGAGTACCAACCGGATCAAGGCAGTTTTACCCAAAGTCATTTTCTCCTTCATTACTTACCTGCTACGACAGCTCCGAGATGGAATTATCGAGCCTTCAGCATCAATTTCATGCAGAACATCGTGCATCTTGAGCTGCCCTCCGAGTGTAAGGAGATCTATCTTAAAATAGATGCTGTTGTACCGAAATCCTCTCACGCATTCAGCAATGTCACAGCCCTGACATTGGAAGCTTCCTGAACCGTAAACTAGATAGATATATTCGAATTTTTCTACATACCCGTCGGTGACCATCAGTGACCGTCGATGCAAGTGGTTGCGAGATGAATAAATCATTTCAGTTCGTATATTAATTAAAGTCTGAAACACTCGTATAAAATTGGGTTCGGATGGATGAGACAGCTCCTATGCTATTCAAATGCGGATCGAGAAGTCCATTAGACAGCAGAAGGGGCTGGTCATGCAGATCGTGTCTAATCTACAAGGACGCAGCATCCTAACAAGAACTTCGAGTGGTTTTTCTTCGAAACAGCAAAAAGCAATCGTCAGATGTTCGAGAAAAAAATTCACGCTTAAAATAACTACCGCCGGTACCAAGTGTTACTTTAAAATTCAATCCTGGTGTAGCTGAGGTTTTCGAAGCCGGCACTGATAGGGACCCAAAAGTCACCAGATCCATAAGTACCCCACCGCATATATCAAAGAGTGAATTGCGCTTAATAATATTTTGCCATGCTGGACATCGCTTCCACCACAAACGGCCTATTCTGCATCATCTACAGTCTCGCTTGCCGTTGATAAATCTTAAAGATTTGATAGTGATGTAAGACAAAGCTCGTGTCCTGCGAGTTACAGATGCGTGATGAATTATTTAAGTTGTGGGACCATCTACTACAACTTAAGTACACTTATCAACAGTAAACTATCTTAAGTGCGGAAAATGCTGGTACATAGAATAGTAGGATCCAACATTACATTGATTGACCAATAACTTAGATTGACAGCGGCATCTCACAAAAAAAATCAAGGATAAAAACATACGCAGGGCTTGACTTCGCTTCTTCCTCTCGTCTTCATTTTGACATGCTCATCGAGTTACTATTTTCTCTAATGCACAAACTTTGCACTTTGACATGCTCCGCGTCTAGATGCCACTTACTTAGGATCTTCACATAATAAAAGCCTTAAATCAATTCCAAGAGACTAAAACACCAACTGCATATTTCAAGAACGTTAAGCAACAGAACCAGAACCAGAAACAGACACAAAAATTGGAATGTAGATTAAATACGAACTTCTTGCAAGTACATACCAAAACTTTAAAACGATTCGAATTTAGATTAGACGCTCAGTTAGTTCATTTCTATATCTATGGATCAAAGTATGGTCGAAATGTAAAGAGCCATGTCTTCAAAACAAATATCAGATACAAATCTCCTTACTGCAGTGGGCAATGAAGCACCACTTCGGTAGTTGGTACAAAGAGCAACTTAACGATCTTTTGGCTTCTTGTTTGGAGGAGGACCCATGCTCCCAACCTCGGGCTTGCGCTTGATGCCCAGGAAGTGTGCCACCTATAGTGCATACGGAAAAGTCAGGCAGTTATTCTGATCTAAAAGCACCCTTCCTGTAGCCCGTAAAACTTTTTTATAACTATGATGCAAAATGAGGGGTTTTTCCTGTACAATTACTATCATCAAATAATCGATACACTACAAGTGGGAAATAAACAAAGCCAAAAATCAATACCTAAAATCCAAAAACTTGAATATCAAATGCTTCTTAGCAAATACCAAAATCCGAATACATCATGTACCTTCTTATCGCCCAACATAGGTGTTAGACTGCCAATGTTTTTGTTGTCTCCAAGCATTGGAGTAAGACTACCAACAGGTTCTTTCTCTACAGTGGCAAACCCGCTTCTTGGATCGCTTGTTTGCCCAGGTTTGATGTGACCACTAATGACGAGGTAAGGAGCATGCAGTTTCGCCTGAGCTTCACGAATCTTCTCCATAGCCATGAGAGGCGTATCTCCCGCATTCATCTGTTTAAGTTTCAGCTCCTCCTGGTATTGTTTCTGCCTCTTCTCTTGCTTCATCTTTCCAGGTCCTTTGCCGTGGAACTTATGAGAGAGCTTTCGGAAAGCTTCCTTGGGTGTCATCTATTTTCAAGCATATATGTCAACCAAACTTCTCGTCAGCATCACATAGACTTAAACCATCTACATAAGACTTAAAAGTGCATTGAAAAATGATAACTTAATTTATCGAAATTCCACGTCATAGAAGTTATTTCACGCATTCCGTCTGCAGTTTTAATAGAAAAGGATTCAATACAAATAGCAAAAAGCACCGCAAATTAAATATGTGAGCAAAGACACTTAAGAACGTGAACACGGTATCTTCACGACATCCAAAAACAGTTGGATAATTTTCTAGCACTGAAAGAAGTGAAAAGAATTAACATACCGTTCGACCAAATTCATCGACGCGATCCAGAAGAATGTCTCGTTGACCAACAACGTTATTCGACTCGTCCACGATCCCAATCAGTTTACTCTTTTTCTTATCCATATTTCGACCGCCCCAATCAACGGTTTCCTTCAATGACCCTCTTTCTTTCAGTAACTGAAGAACACCAGCCAAACCCTTCCCTACAGCCACTTCTTTCACTTCATCTACAGATTCTTCTTCCATCTCTGGAATGTCCTTTACATTCATCATTTCTTCATCACCAACCTCTGTCCAACCCCCTTTCGAACTTGGGGGTGCTTCATCATTAAGAGGATCGACTTCTCCTTCTTCCTTCTCCTCCTCCTCTTCCTCATGGAAGACATCTTTGGGTCCAGATCTTCTAATAAGTGCTGCATCATGTAAATTTCCACTTCAGCACTGCTGTGAAACATGTTCTATAACCTTCATAGGATATAAACACTAACGCGATCAAGGCTTCTAGATTGAAATTTCGTGTATAATAAATATAATCAGATAAACGACCAAGATACAGTAAATCAATTAACTTGGTAAAACATCGACCATGACAAGAACATAAATAATATAGATGTAAAATGAGCCTGTTCAACAACCGATTCCATATGATATCCAGTGAACGAAGTGGGCTGATCTATAAACCAATAAAGAGTTTATACTTCAGCATATGATGTGAAACCAGCCTCACCTTCATCTAACTGTAGACTGCGACAGAATTCACCAGTATCACTAAAAATAAGCTTCCCTTCCTCACCGTCGCCATCTCCTTGACTTTGGGACAACTCTTGTTTTGCAGCTGTAGACAACCAGGTACTGGTTTTAGCACAGTGGAACTCATTTCAATCATTCTCGACATAAATTGATTTCAATCCATGTATCCGGGGCACAATGTTCTCAGAAGAGCATAAAACACACTAGTATTGCCTTAGAAACACGCTTCAACAATATTACGCATATCAAACTTGTCGGCTTCGCTTCCTGCTGACTGCAATGTCTCGAAGCCGCAGATATTGGTAACAATACAACACACTGAGTGCAGAATGTCAATACCTGCTAAACGTGCAGCAACAGCTTGCGGACCAGAGGCATTTTCAGCCATTTTCTTCAAAGCAGCTTGTCGTGCCCTGTCTAATGACCTTTGCAAAACTTCATCTTCTTCCGCGCCAATAACAATTTCCTCCTCAGTGTCATCAACGTCCATGGCTTTGGCTTCACTTTCTTCCTTTAATATTCTAGAGGCATCAGCTGCCTTAGCAACAGCATTCTCATAACGCTCTCTTCGAGCGTCAGCTGCTGCCTTCATTTCATCTTGCATTATTGCCCGTCGTGATATTCTATCCCGCGACCCTAAATCTGTAGTTCCTAAACCCTCAGCCACTGCCTCAGCTTCAAGCGCATCCAAGTCCAGTTTCTCTTTCTTACGAAGCTTCTTCTTTTTCTTCGGTTTCTTAAATGTTGTCATCTCATCAGGAGTGAGATATTCAGATGCTATGGTAGAGTTAGTGGTGAGAAGAGACTCTGCAAGGCGATCCCCCATACCATGCTGTAGCCTTCTGCGAACCTGAAAACATGAAAGGCAAATGGAATTTAGCACGTCGCACAAATAACTAAACTGCCACCCGCATAGGAGGAATTAAAATTCAGCGCAAACAACACACGTCTCGGATAAACGCTTAGTTAAATTTTCGAAATCAAATACTTACGCAGCATTGTCCAACAAAAAAGTGCTTCTACAAAGCTCTACATAAAGGTTCTAAAGAAAAGAACAGAACAGAACAGAACAAAAGAAACATAAATAATAATAAAAAAATAATAATAATAATAATAATAAAAAGGAGGAGAGAAAACCGGAACGGAACTTATACGAAGCGTCAGAAATTTAGCTAACATTTTACGAAATGCTCAACACGCCTTTGAGTGTAAAGTACGTACCTCCTCTAGTTTCCGTTGGACATTTTCATCAACTCCCCCTAATTCATCCAAGGTTACACCCTGATGCGATCCGGCTAAAGATTTAGCTTCACGAAAATTAAAAATATCATCCAGTAACAAACATTAACATACAACAGTGTGGCTGTCAAGTCCACTAATATTCAAAAGTCCATTGATTATTGAAGTGCTTCGGAAGAGAAAAAATTCTGCGAGATCTACTGTTCAAGACAAACAAAGGAATAACTAGCAGTCAGTATCCTTCAAAAGAACAAGCTATTGGCTTCCACTGTTAATGACCTCAAACTCACCTCTTCTTGAATAGCATCATCATACTTTGAGAGTATTGTTTTGTTGCCCGTCATATCGTTATTAAACCTGCAGCGCAAACAAAGTAAGAATAAACAACCATTGACAAAGAAAATACAATCAAGGATGGAAATTTCTTTTCATCAGGTTTTTCCTCGGCAAGCAGCTTACGCAACCAAGCTGTGCAATCATTGACACAATAAGCCCAAGGTTTTGGTACTGAAGGATAAGAAAGAGTAAGAAAATTACTTGTCTTCATATTTTCCTGCAACCTTCTTGGCAGCCTTGTAGGCCTCTTCTCGAGCCGTCTGTTGAGCCAATTCCATATTCTCCAACTCATCCGTCTCTGCAGTAACAACCCCAAAAGCAGATGAAAATTTGAAAAATGATGCCGCATCGAGAAAGATCTAACACAATCTTTGAAGTATTTCACTCAAGAAGTATTGAATTACATAGAACAGAACCTTTGCGTTGAAGTATTTACTCACCATCATTGACATCACCATCTGCTAGGATACTTGAGTCTTTCAGTGTGAGTACTATCGCTTCACCTTCCATCACTTTGTCTAGTCCATGTCGAACTTTCAATCCAGCTAAATCCTCTGCGAGCACAACATAAACGTCAAAAACCAGAAAAAAATGAGGGTAAGCCTTGACATGTAATAACAAGCAAACAAAAAGTCTAGTCTACTGCATTAAACCAACTCTGACCAGATTCAGGTCGCCCAAATTCCTAGCCACAATCTGACGATCCAAGAAATTATTCCAATGTTTTTATTGTCTCACATGGGTCTACAAAGGCGTATTGAACATTCTTAAGAGGTGTATCGCAACAGCCACTTGTTTCAATTCTAAAATCAATTATTTGGTCTTTGACACATAACCTGATCAGTGCTGCACGAAAACACTGTGGACAATATATGTGGATGAATGACGGGGATAGAAAATTAATAACCAGAACAATTTTACCACAGTTGATTATAAGCTACTAGACTTGCTTTTAAGTTAATAAATAGCATCACAGTTAAATGAAAAGTGGATAATGGTGTAACCCTTGGTGAATACTGTGGTCCATAGTTTACGCGGTTTTCTTGATGTAGTCTCAATAAATTCGATTTCAGCGAATCATTTCATTCCATTTAGTCCCCGAACAGGTCCTTTTCAATTGATTAGCAAATGCATGATCTCATCTCTACATCAGTGATAGTGTTTAGGTTGACTTACTAGCAGTATACTTGCTCGATTGCCCGGACTCGTCCTCACTGTCCTCGTCTTCATTTTCCTGCACATGGAATGTCAAGCCTGTCAATAGAACTTCAGAAACATCCCATGTCGCTCTTAGAAGGATCAGAAACAACATCGAAGTGCACCTTTCAATAATGAACATGCACTATATGCGTGCATACAACAGCAGGGGTAATGGATGGGACCCACCTGTTCTTCCAAAGCTTTGGCCATACGTGCAGCTTTCTCCCTCTCTTCAGCCTTCTTCTTCTCATCTAACTGCCTGCTCTTATTCACCCAAGATGCAATGTCATCTATATCTTCTACCACTTCCGGCTTCACCGAGGCCCGGATACCGCGTTTAGGTCTTCGATCAAAATTGGCTTTTCTCTTCTCCTCCCGCATTCTGCTTAAGTACACAGTGCCCAACGGGAACGATGAATACCCCAACACTATCCCAAACGGTAATTCAAAAATGAAAATTTATTTGTCTTAAAAGCAATCTCGCACCAACGCGCCGTGACAATATTGATTTACTAGATAATTTTGTGATTCAAACGAATGAAAGGAAGCAGTAGCATTCCGTCTCTTAAAGAAATCCATCTAACTATAAGATAGCAAGACAACAGCATCACCTTGCAAGTCGATCCGCCAATTCAGAGCTTGAGACATGTGGCTGATCAGAGTCTCTAGCACGCTCTCTCTCTGGCCCTGCATTGTCGAGTTCCATGCCCCTAGTCCGCTGGTCGCGCTCCTGATCATGTTCATGTTCTACTTCTCTTTCATTCTCGTGGTCTTTGTGTCTAATTCGTTGTCTTTCCTTCTCCTTCTCCCTCTCTCGCTCTCGTTCTCTGTCTCTTTCTCTCTCCTCCCTATCCCTGTCACGTTCTCTTTCTCTTTCTCGTTCCTTTTCCCTCTCTCGTTCTCTTTCCCTTTCTCTTTCCTTTTCCCTTTCCCGCTCCTTCTCTTTCTCCCTTTCTCTTTCCTTCTCCCTCTCCCTCTCCTTGGCCTTCTCCTTCTCCCTCTCTTTTTCACGCTCCCGCTTCTCCTTCTCTCCATCTTTGGTTTTATCCCTGTCACTGTGCTTCTCTTTCACCTTTTCATCCTTTTCTCTAGTCTTCTCTCTAGCTCCATGATTCTCCCTTTCCCGGTCCTTGTCCTTGTCTTCATCTTTGCTCTTGCCCTTCTCGCTGTGCTTCTCTTTAACTTTCTCATCTTTTTCTCTTTTCTCCCTCGCTCCATACCTCTCTCTTTCTTTGTCATCTTCTTTGTGTTTATCCCTCTCGCTGTGCTTCTCTTTCATCTTCTCGTCCTTCTCTTTAATTTTCTCTCTCGTCCCATGTTTTTCCCTTTCCTTATCCTTCTCACGGTCGCCCTCCTTGGGCTTCGACTTATCCATCTCGCGATCGGTATCCCTCGACTTCTCTTTCTTCGCATCAGCTTCATGCGGGGACTTCTCGCGATGTTTTTCCCTAGCTGTATCATGATCCTTCTCTCTACCGTGACTCGATTTATCATGGTGTCTTTCTTTGTCTTTCACAGTCTCATGTTCCTTGTCATGACCGTGTCCAGACCTCTCACGATGTCTCTCCTTGTCCTTGTCTCTCTCCCTCTCCTTTTCCCTGTCTCGACCCTTCTCCTTCTCCCTCTCCTTCTCCTTAGCACGCTCCCGCTCCTTCTCCTTGGCTCGGTCTTTCTCTTTTTCCTTCTCCCTGTCTCTATCCTTATCCCTATCCCTATCCTTCTCTCGGTGCTCTTTGCTTCTCTCCTTATCCTTTTCCTTCTCCCTGCTCCTGTCTTTCTCCCGCTCACTCCTCTTACTGCTCTCCTTCTCCTTCTCCTTCTCGAACAGTTCCTGATCCGACCTATCCACGTCCATCACCTCGCTCCGAACCATGGTGTTGGAGCTTCCTTCGACGAAAATCTTCTAATCTCGCTTCAATTCAATAAATTCCGCAAATAAACGGAGCAAATTCACACACCATTCCCACCGAAAAGCCTACCACAGCTCCAAAAAATAAAAAGATTCAGGACGAAACATCCAATTCTACTCTTAATCAGACGCAAACCTATCACATCACCCGCCGCTTACGCCAATGTCACGTTCCAGAATTTTACAAACCCTAGCATACCACCAACCAACTCCACTACCTGAAAAACCAATCACATAACAGCAATAAAACACACCATGCCACAATACTCGCAAAACACCTCCAATCCGACCGCAACAAAAACCTAACTACTTTCATCCGCAACCACACCATCATCATCAAATCCACCCTGCCCCGCTCGAATCCAAACACTCCAACAAACACTAATTAAAACACCACTATCTCAACGCAATCCTTCTGGTAGAAACAAAACCCTAATTGCAGACAGTGCAGTCACCGGCAATAGAAGAGACTCACGAAGATGAAGAGAGAAGCGGCGGAGCCATGATGACTCCACGCAGCAACACTCGCGGCGCCAACAGTAACTGCAAGCCTGCGTTCAAGTGGCGACAATGGGATACTGGGGCGACGACAACACGATCGTATGCTGAAGAGGCTGTGATGGAGCTGGTTGCATAAGCTTTGGCCTGGCCAAGCCCACCGAGGAACTTGAGAGCAAAGGACGAGGAAGGCTCCGCTTGGCGCTTTTTGAAAGCCCTCCCCAAGAAGGAAGGAAGTCCTTAAATTAATTGACCTTAATTGACCTTAATTGTCCACAAATGCATCCACGTTTCTATTTTTTTGTTCTTATTATTTAAAGTTGTAGATATGTGGTTGTTAATTTGTTATTTGAATTGTCTTGTGGGTTTGAATTTTATAAGATTGTTTGACATGTTCCTGGTATCGACAATTTTTCTGGTGACGTGTACCTTTTGTGATTGTTTAACTTTTTAAATTTGAATAAAATAAGTTTGTAATTTTGATACTTTTGTTTTTTATTTTGAGGTAGGGTTATAATTGGTGGGGTTGAATTTGTTGAAGTTTATAATGTTATAGCATGTTAAATAAATTTTAATTTATTTCATTTCATAAATCATATTTTGTTTATAATAAAGAATACATGATGTGAAGTTAAATCATAATCCATTGTGGGTTGAATTTTCATGTCAGTAGCTACTTTGAAAATTTAATAGATATTTGATAAAAGATTATGTACTTGGTATAAAGTGGTATGTGTGTAGTCTCTAACTATGGTTATGCTAAATTATAAATATTATTACTATGTTATTAATGCTAAGTAGAAAAATAATGAAAAAGGTTGTTTATGTTTATTTAAAACTAACCAATGATTAAATAGACTTATTAATGTCAAAAATGTTAAAAAATACTTATACTAGTTGCATATGATAGACACATTATTGAAGGTGCAGAAATATGAAGATATATTGCTATTTAGTAAAATACATATTTATTCTTTTCATAAAAATACATATAATTACTATTCATAAATTAATACTATTCTTATTGCAATTTTTTTTCTATATGTTGTTATGATCTTGATATGTCATTATGTTATGTAGTTACATATTTTTATTTCTTGATTTTACTTTTTAATACACAAAGTAATTCAAAAATCAACATCAACTTAAAATATTTAAAAATACCAATCTAACTACGTATTTTAAAAATATATATATTTTTTAATTATTTATTTTATATAATATATTTAATATGGATTTTTTTGAAGTAAAAAGTTTTAAAATATTAATATAAAATTGACGTTGTATAAAAAAGAATGTTAAATTAGTCCCACTAGTTGTTAAATTGATCCACCTATCATCAAAATCATCAAAAAATAGATCATTATTGGATTATAATAATATGCATATAAATTATAAATAAAAAATAAATTGTAAAGGTACACTTTGCTACTAAGGATAATTAGAAGATCAATTAAAATAATCATGGTTATTATATATATGAAAATAGTACAATCATAGAAATGCAACTAATAAAAGAACTTCAAAATAGGCAAATACAATTAATGGTAATAGTATAGTGTATGTGTTTATAATGTTCATATTGATTACTTCATTGTTGATGAAAATTTGTGCAACCTTCTTCCAACTTGTTACACTTTAACAATATTATTTTTGTAACTCTTTGTTGTATTACTTACTATCTAAAAGAAGAAAGAGAGACATTAGCCACTTTAAAATTATTCCATTTTGAAATAGAAAATCCACTCAATATGGACCATCCATCTAAAGAATTATTTGACATATTTGAAGATATAAAAAAAAGCCTAGATAGATTTATGCTTACTTAGGATTATGTTATTTGTTGAAATTATTGTGTCATAACATGACTATATGATGAAAAATAAAAATATGGATGTTATTATAGAAGAACCTAGTAGAAAGATGAAATAAAAAAATAAGGATAAGTAATAGAAAGGTAGTAAAAAGTTTAGTTTTAATGATGCCTTTTATAGAAGAGACTTCTATTTACTTTGTAGGAGCATAAAATTCAAATCAAAGTAAATGAGATAAGTAAATAATATATACAACTTTAAGAAAGAGTTAATAATATGTTTAAGGAAAAATTACCTCAAATTACCAAAAATAGATATCTAAAGAGAACCATTTGTTGACTTAGGTTAAAATCAAACCTTGAGGCATAAAACTACACACCTATGGTAACTCTAAGGTTCTTTTATAAATCAAAGAATAGAATTTGAAAACAAACTATAGGAGAGATTTTTAAATATTATTTTTATATCATTTGGATTAATATTGGAATTTTGAAGGATTTTAAAAGTTAATAATGTACTCGGTGAATTTAGATTTTAAGAAATAAGAATAAGTTTACAAATTTCAAGATTTTGTGAATTTTGTAGTGTATTTAGAAGTGAAAATTAGATAATTTATTGTTGTACTTATTGTAAATGTGTGTGAGGAATTTGAGGTCAATCGAGCAATCAAATTGAAGAATATGAGGATTTTTGTAGGTTATGGTCTTGAAAATTGGAGTTTAAAGAATTAATGAAGATTTCTAAGATATCTATCAATTCTCTAGTTGGATTGAAATACAAATTTGCTCCAAGATAGTTAGCTTGATTTCCAACAATTGTGCAAACTTTTAAACAAATTTAATGGTGAAATTAAAATATTATTTTTAGAAAATATCAACATCAAAGTTGGAGAAGGAGATTGGCCGACTTCCAAGCAAAATTTTGGAATTATTGTCTATTTGGTATATATGATCTTCTTCAAAAAAATTGTACTTATTATTAATTTAGTTTTTGAAAGGTTTGCAATTTTTGAATCAAAATCAATAATTCAACCATTAGTTATTGAATTTTTAATTTGTTGTAAGATTTGTTAAGAATTTATTTAAAATTTAGGATTTGATTAAGAATTAATTAAGATTGATTTAAGATCTAGGATTTGGTTAGGATTTAGGATTTTTTTTTAATTTGATTAGGATTTTATTAAGATTAGTCTAAGGTTTCACTAGAGTTTCATTAGAATTGGTCTAGGGTTTAGGATTTCATTAGGATTTGACCTAAGATTTGATTAAGTTTTATTAGGATTTCAATTAAGGTTTGATTAAGATTTATAAGGATTTTAATTAGGATTTTAATTAGAGTTTAACCTAAGATTTGTTTAAGATTTATTAAAATATTAATTAGAATTAAATTAAGATTTGATTAGGATTTATTTAGGATTTTTATTTTAATTTATTTTTAAAGATTTTATTTATTTATTTCAAATTTTTTATTTATAGTATTTTAAAAGATTATTGATATTTTTTTAAAGATTTATTTTTATATTTCTTTGAAATTTCTTTGTTATTTTTTTTAAAATTAATTAATGACTTCTTTTTATTTCTTTTGTAACTTCTTTTAAATTTATTTGGATGGATTAAAGTTTAATTAGGATTATTAAAGATTACTTAATATTTATTTAAGACTTTATTAGATTTGATAGGATTATTGTTGCATTTCTACTTATCTTCCATAACTAAATACTTTGTGTATTCTCAAGCAAGAATATACATAATACAATAATGCTACTCTAACAAGGGCCACATTATCTTTAAATATAACAAAGGTTGCACTTATAGTAGGCCTGAGGCTAATTTATATTGTTATTGTAATATAGCTACTAATTTAAGTTATGTGCATATTATTTGCATATTTACAAGCATTGGTAATTATAGTCATGGATATATACATATAAACCATTAATTACCTATATGATAAAATAAAAGTAGGTAAAAGTAGGTTAATTCCATAATATCTTCTATAAAAGCTTCATGGGAGCTTCATAGACATTGTTTTGACTTTATAGATGTCTCTAATTGACTTTTAAGATTATGAACATGGTCAAAAAGTTGGCCATGTGCCACACATGTTGGTAGCTTGAGGAACAAGCTAACTATGCGACCCACATATAGAAAATCTATTTTGTAAGCTAAGGCATGTGTTCTACAAAGTCAACACATATTTGAGGTCATATAGAACATCACCATGTTGTCGTATTACATGAAGTCTTATTTGAGAGTGTACCAAATACTTGATTGTCCAAGGTAGAATAGAAATTACAACAACAAAATCTAAATTTTAATAGAATACTAAATAAATTCTAATTAAACCTTAATAATGTTAAACAAGATTTAATCAAATTCAAAAGAAATCTTAACAAAATTACAAAAGAAACAATAAAAAATATTAAAGAAATTAAAAAAAAATCCATAATAAACCTTATAAGATCCTTAAGAAGCTCTAAAAACTATTAAAATAATCATAAATACATAAATAAATCTCAACCAAGTTCAAATTTAATCCTAGTTGAAATTCTAATAGACTTCAATCAAATTCTAGACAAACTCTAAATCCTAAATCAAATCCTAAATCAAACCTTAGACACTAAATCAAATCCTAAACCAAATCCTAAATCAAATCCTAAATCAAATCTTCGATGAAATCCTAGATCCTAAACCAAATCTTAGATAAATTCTAAATCCTAAATAAAACCATAGATCAAATCCTAAATCCTAAACTAAATCCTAAATTAAACCTTAAACAAACCATAAACCTTAAATCCAAAATCAAATCCAAGATAAATCCTAAATCTTAAATTAAACCCTGAATAAATCCTAAATCCTAAATCAAATCCTAATCTTAAACCAAATCCTAACCAAATCCTAATCAACTCAATCTAATCCTAGTATTATTTAGAACCTTAATATCTATCAATCAAACCATTGATTTTTCTTAAAATTTTGCACACTTTCAAAAACTATTCAACTATTTTTAAATTTCACATATGTATAGAAAATCAAGTCAATTACTGTATCTCAATTAAACTAGTAGATTGTTGAAGATCTTAGAAATCCTAATTGCCTCTCAAAGTCCAATTTCTAAGGCCTCAACCTACTTGAAATTCAATATCCTTTAATTGAAGAATTTGATCACCCTCAAACTTATAACATACACTTTAGACAACTAATTTCATAAGTTATCAAAATCTGAACTATAGATCTACTACCAAACTTATTAAATTCTCCAAAATATATCACACTTTATATTTCACAAATTCCAAAGTCATCTAAAACAACTGTGACTTTGCAAAGTTCTTGCTAAGTTGTTACATACTCAATTCC